TGGTGTGGGGGGTTGGATTTGGATGCCGCAAGCCCTGATGCCACCCCCAAGCCAGCATCATGCTACTTGCCTGACTGTATGGCGGGCAATGTTGCAGCGCCCCGGTGGTGTGGCATGTACACACCGCATGCTGCTGGAGCTAAAAAAACCACCGTGGCAGCGGCATAAGTGCCTTTTTCCTGGCTCAAAAAGGAGTGGTTTTCTGCTGCTTCTTTTTGAGCTGGGAAACAGCTGGATTGGGGCATGGCATGCAGTTGCCATGGCCCCAATTTGGTGCTCAAAGGGGCAGCAGCAAGCCACTCCTTCAAGGCTGTCTGCTTCACCTCTTAGTGTATATCCATACTGCACAATTAGTAGCACTTTCTGCCTTAACTTTCAAGAGTCCCTTCTATGGTACTTTGATTTGTAGTTTGGGGAGATCTTTAAAATTCTCTGTTCAGTTCTCAGTTCTTTACCTAACTACAAATCCTAGGATTGATGTGGCAGAGCAGCTAAAGTGAAATCAAACTGCCCCAACTGTACGCTTACATTGCTACTCAAACACATTAAGAAGGGAGGTTTATGCTAAGTTCGTATAAGATTGTACCGCTTCGAATAGCAAGTGGCAGGAAAAACAAATGTTAAATAATCCCTGCCTGCAGAAGATTGTGTGCCAAGCAGAAGAATTTCATTCTATTCTTAGTTACTGGGTTGTTGTTGTTTTAGAACAAAGGAAGAGGAAGCCTTCTAAGGTGTAAATTGCCACCTGCATGACTAAAGCAGCAGATTTCTGGGAGGGCTGTTTGTGTTTTCTGAAAGTAGAGATTGGTTCTCAGTTATTAGACAAATGTACAAAGGTGGATGCATAACTGAAAGGGAATAAGGTTAATTGGATTAGAATGCTCAGGAAAAGTGCAGATATGATATTTCAGGATAAATGTTGCATGTAGGAATACTTTTCCTGCCTCCTGCTCTCACATCATTAGACTTTGGTGCTGTTTATACTGTATGTGGGTTGCAGTCTTACCATCCTCTAAATGTAGCAGTCCAGCAACATCTGGATGGGTACATAATTCCTACTCTGGCCTACACTGACTGGCAGTAAACAATCTAGAGATTTAGGTGGAGGAAATTTTTGAATAGTTTCCTGAGATCCCAGTTATTTAACCTTGGATCTTTTGTAGACCAGGCGTATGTTCCACCTAGCCCTGGGCTAAGACTTCCTTGCTTTCTAACTGACATTTTTGGTAATTTCCCAGGATGGTGTAAAATACAGTGTGATATGAACAACAGGGAAACTACATTTAATCGACTCTCTCTTGTGGTCTAAAATAATGTGCAAATAAGTATCCATTTATGTTGTTGTTACTTAAGTTAAAATACAATTGTCTTTTAGTTGACTCCAGAGTCAGTGTACTTCATTTGATAAAATTGAAGCTGCTCTTATCTGAAAATGGAAAGGGTTCATGCCCTTGTGGGGATAAATGTTCATTACATTTTCCCTTGTCAGATTTCCTTGCCTGCTCATAGATTAGCAAATTCATATTCCCATGTTAATTATCCTGTGCCACAGGGAATCTAAGAATTAGTTTGTCTATGAGCTGAAATTTTGGTCCTAAATGTTTTATTAATTTTTGACTTAATTTGCTACTCCCTCAACTACTAAATAGCTTAATAAGACTGGTCAAGCAGGATTGAGTTGCTGTACTTTTTAGTATTCTTCCTTTTTCAATATTCTACACTACTTCTGAATTCAATCTTAGAATTAATCCAGAATTTGAACAGACATTGTTTGCTGTGAACATAAGCTTGTTTGAGTATATTTATCCCTCCCTCCAGAAAAATGTATGATTTTGTGGGGCCATTGTATGGATGCATAGTATTTTGAGAATGCATCCCATGACTCTGATAGAACATCACACAGAAAAACCTGAATGTGCAGTTATCACATAACAGTTACTTTAAAGAGTAATCAGTTTGAGTTATATAGTGGCCCCAGCCACTGTTGTCACCTCAGCCCCCAAAACAGAGTGCAAGGTATGATATGAGCCAGCCCTTGACCCATGTATTCCTTCTCTACCATTGAGAAAAGATTCACAACCATGCTATACCTTGTTGAGTTATATTGGCAGTATAATGTAGTTATACTTTAGTTTGGAGAAAAAGACCTAATTGTAGGTAACTTATTATTTGTCTCTAGTTACTTTCAAGTGCTGGCTTTTGGTTGCCAGTTTTAGGGGATCATAAGTAATAATAAGTGACACAATGGCTCAGCAGTTAAGACACTGACTCTGTCAACATGTGAAAGGGATCTAGGAGTCCAGATAGATCACAAGCTGAACATGAGTCAACAGTGCAATGCAGCAGCTAAAAAGGCC